GATATGAATGCAGGCGTGCTCTATATTTACACTAGCTATAAGACGCTCATGAACGCAACACGTCAAGTGAAGTTCACTGGCGTGTTTTTCTCGGTTTTAGATTTATAATAAGAAATTTATCTTAGATGCATCAACAATTCTCACTCAAACAAGTCCACCTAGAGATTATTAATAAAAAAAACCCACTAAAAACAGAAAGGAATTTTACTGTACCTTTCGTTATAAAATACTATTTATTTATTGAAATAATTCTATTTTTCTTCTTTTTTTAAATTATTTTTTATTTCATTTGTATCCTTCAGTATCAGATTTTTTTGAATTAACATTATATATATATATATATATATATTAACACTAAAAACCTAGAGATATTTTTCTCTTACATTATATATAAGCACTGGAAGTTTAACGTGGCTGAAGGGGAAGAAGATTAAAAATTGAAGAAAGAAGAAGAAATTAAGAAGCTTTGGTACCACAGAATCCAAAATTCTGATTCCGCATGGGCCTGGAAACAAGTTTCTGCACAGCGATTACAGTTATACAGCGAGTAATAACAACACGTGCCTAACTAGCAAAACCACAATGGACAGAAGAAAATGAACAAGAGGATAAAGAAAGACGATAAGCAACCCCACAACGGCAGCTTTCACAAGTAACGGCGAGACAGTACAAAGAGGATTTCAATTCCATGGGCATGATGTAGGGCACAATTCTTGGTACATAGGCGGGCGTTTTGCAAGTTTTATTTATTTCTGTCTCGTGGGCTGTTCATCTTGCCAATGCCAGGCAGCTCGGATGTGCGCTTTAAATGCAGGCCATTCTTCGGGTGCCTGTGGATGCCACTTCTTCCTTAACGAACGCGTTCCTCAATCTTACTCGTGGCTAACTTTTATATCTAATATTTTTAAGCAAACCTCGAATATCTATATTATTTTGATTTTTCAATTAATAACTTCTGTTAAAATCACTTGACATAAATAATGTTATTTTTTTATAAAAAAAGAATTAAAATAAAGAGCATTAAGGTCTTTAATTGAGATTTCTTAAAAATACTGAAGGTAAATTTGAATAAAAATTCTTAAGCAAAACTGGGCATTTTTTAGGTTTTTCAAAATTTTTATGACACTCACTCCCCTGCTACTTTAGCTGGCCTGGGCCCAGGACAATTCCGTGCTTGCAATCGGAACAAAAAATAATTGTTTTTTTTTTTTTTGTCAGTGCCTGAAAAATTAGTCAGCTGAATTTCAGATTTCCTTTTCTATCATTCCAGGGAAAGGGTTAAACTTAAAAATTTATTTATATAATTGACTTTGAATGGAAGACATTATTAGTTATTTAATCTGATGTTTTTTTTTTTTGGGGGGTGGGGGGCGCTACTAGTGAGTTTTAACTCTCTCTCTTTCTCTCTCTTTCTCTTTCTCCTTTTCTTTTAATTTTTTTAAATTATTTTTTGTAATGTTTTTGAATATTTTAATGTGTTTATATTAAAAATATTATTTTAATATTTTTCTAAATAAAAATTATTTTTAAAACGATCACTTTTAAATTGATAAACAATCTCTTAAACATAGTTGGACATCGTTGGACGATGATCCTGGACACAAAACAAACAAACAAACTAACTAATCAATAAATAAAAATTACGTATGATTTACGACTTTGACATAGAACCTTGTTGTTTTGTAATCGTCCTTGTCGTTGCGACTAGCGATTGAGGATAACATTCTCGCTTCAGTTGCCATCACCCCCACCAAGCTCCAAGTTGATGGTCATGCCTGTCGCTTGACAGCAACTCCGAGTTTGGTGGGGTTCCAAAACCATTCTCGTTGCAGGGTCTATGATAGGTGATGGCTTAATTATGAGATGCATCCATCCATCTATAACCTCCCCCTTCTCATTTGATGAATGGATTCCACATGTTTGACTGTGGGTTCTTGCGCTTGCAATTGTCCTTTCGCTGTGCCGGCAACCTTCCCTACCCCCAGAGAAAGCATAAAAGAACAAACTGAACATTGTTTTCAGATTTTAATTCTTCCGAGGGTTCTAGGATAAGAGCTAGTTAACAGGAATCGCACCTCGTTTTATATGATTAGAATCTGAATGCTGCTGTTGCTATTTACCAGTTGCCTTTCAAACTAGATTTGTTGCTGCGTTTCGCAGCGAGTTTAACTCAGATCTCTAGATTAAGCACAAGAAAGGTTTATGCAGTAACCAAATGCTATGCGCAAAACATTAGAAGCAAAGCTCGTCTATTTGTAAGGACTTGGCATTTTAACATGGTATGGATGATAGGCATGGGTAAACGTAAGAAGTTGTACCAAACCAAAATTTTTAGCATCGATGCTAAACATATTTAGTTCATTGATTAGTTCCGGCATAGCATTGCAGACAAAAATCCATGAAGTTTACAGCCCAAGAACGAACATCAATCTTTAGGAATCCATAGCAGCCATCCTAGAGGCTCATTCATCAAGCGATGTATAGATCCTGTTATATGTGATGACCAAGAACATAAAAGAGTTAAAATTCTAAAACTCGAAGGCAAAAGAGTATTATCAAGTGGATGGCAAAATTGAAGTCCACATCTGTAAATATGCCGACAATTATAATATAAAGGATCAAAGGCGAAATGATTTGACAAGTTCAACTATCAAAACCAAGCCAAAGCATCATGTCATATGGGCAGCAGGCGCTGATAAGCAACCAAGGCAGGCTTTATCTGGTCTTATCTCATATTTGCAGCAACTTCTTTAGTTGCCATTCATGTCTTCAACATGCCAAACTAAAAATCCTGGAATTTCTTTTCAATTATCATCCGTCAGTCAACACCTTTGAAAACAAACCAGAATCAATTCAAAGCTAACATTGAAGGCCATGACAAATCGCAGAAAAAAGTGCAGTAACAGTTCCTAACCAAAATTTAAGATCCTGGAAGCAGATTTATTATTATTTAAAAAATTAAAAAAATATATCGTTTTAATATTTTAAAAAATATCATCTAATATCTCATTATTTTAACATTTTTTTTAAATCATCAACCATAAATATATTTGGAGGTAATAATTATTTTCTTATTACAGAACGCAGTAGTTATTAGATAATATTTTTAATATAAAAAAATTAACCCGACTTGGGAAACATTTGAGGTGGGGCTGTGTCACGTACTGTTAGTGGCCCCATGACGTGGTACTTTTTACTGGCATTATTATGCGTATTGCAGAAACCATAGGAATAGCAAAATCCATTGCCATGTAAGTCCAAGGTGTACTACTGGTCCCCGTGATCACATTTTTGTCCAGCTCGGACGAGACCAGACCAGCAGCCATCAAATTGGCAATCTCGTGAAAAAGGCTCACCAGTTCCCAATTCCGCGTTTGATCCACCACCTCCGCAAACCAACAATTTTCAAAACACAAACCACTCACGAGCCCTTCCTATCGTCCTAAACACTAATTACACCGAGGGATTAAGAAAAATTAAAAATAAAATCGAGGATTTTCTCGTCTGTGACGGACCTACCTGGAACCGCTCTATGTGCAGCCAACACGTCATTGATTCGATGCACCGACAGAGAAACGCGGCAGAGAGGGGCCCACGCTTCCTTCTCAGAACGAAAATTTAACAAACTAAACAATTCGAGGATGCAAAGATTGACTCTCTTCTCCATGTGGCCCTTCTCTCTCTCGTTGGTTAATTAATGAATAAGATTTAACATTTAATAAATCCGTGTCCAATTCTTCTTTATTATTATAATTCCTGGACCTTTCTCCTTCTAATCGCTCCATAAATCTTATAATATATGTTCATACGTCCTTCTATATAATACTATGTTCCTTTTTTAAGGAACATGGTCTCTTACTATTAAAAAAAAAAAAATCACCTCAAGGCCAAATCCATGTCTATAGGCAGCCAACCACGTCGTTGTGTTGCTTGGTTAAAAAGCAAGGTAAAATAAAATGACCGTCTCACCTTTTAAGAGTGTGTGTGTGTGTAGATACAAATTTATCGGGATCTCTGACAGTGACACAGTGAATTAATTGAATTAAATAATATTAGTTTTTAATTCAACTTCAAACCTAGTTAGCTTAAACTAATAATGTACTTGACATGTAAAAAAAAATTCAAAATGTAGTTTAAAAATCAGTTTAAACACATTACTATACGAGTTAAGAAAATCTCAAAACCAAGAACTTGCTGTCACAGGTAAAAGCTATCAAAATTATCTCAAGATATATTAAAAAATTAAAAAAAAATAGATTTTAATGAAACTCCGTTTACAACGCAATTCTCGACATCTCCAAGTTCAAAACTGAGCTGTAGATAGTGAATCCATGTGGTTGCACGAGTGCTGGAATATTTCTCCAATCGCGATTAGATTAACTGGCTTTTAAGCCAAAATTATCCTCTCCCAGCCTCTGGCTTAATCCTTAAACGCTATTTATTTTTGTTTATATCCTTTTATCCCTTGTCGGTTTGTTATTTTATAGGTGTCTTGATGCAGATCCCTTGTGCACACTATAGCTTAGCCACACCTTGGAATGATAACCATCAGTGATTTCGGGTTGAAAACCTGTCTTATAGGCATTGATCTTTTGAGCCTAAAAGGCCATCTTTTCCTCAACATTATCATTGCAAAGACAACATTTTTGAGCTTGTTCGATCTCCATATCTTGAGCGATTCTTTAATCCTTCACTCACCACATTTTAAGCTTCTACGAGCATTAATTAGTGGTACCGTCGGTAATGTACACAAAATAACAGCAACACAGAGAGCATGGATTCAAGCGTCAAGTTGTTGTTTGTTTATGAGCTCGCATATGATATAATCCTGTGGTGTCCGGCTATTATGGCGCATGTCAACCCCGATCTAATAAATAACATGAGCAAGGTATAAAAAAATAGAAAAAAAAAGGTTATTTGTTTCCGGGTCTATGGTCTCACTCTCCCTCTATATAAGATCTACACATATCCATAGTAAATTCCATTTGTTTTTTTAGCAAGTAAATTAAAATACCAAAAAAATACTAGCTTCTTCATGATTTACCATGATACGAAGATGATGTCATTGTAAAGTAGAGAGAGAAAGTGAGCTTTAGTCACAAGTGAGCAAGTTGATTAGAAAAAAAAATAAAAAATCTGGAGTTGTGAACTACCCCTCGTCGTATTTAGCTACCTTGTCTCGAAGAAAGAAAGTACTATATAAAAGGGGGAGAGTTTTCAATTTTCACGATAGCTTCTCCGTTGTGATTGGATCCATAAAAATCATCTCTCTATCTCTACTTCATCTGTAAATAGTTGAAAGTGAGAGAGAGTCCAATTTGCAGTTTAAAGGTGTAGTCTTTACGACAAAAGCTGCTTCTGGGGGCTTATGTTTAATTACTCCTTTCATGAGTTCCTACTGATTTCAGGGGTTATTTCTTGCGCTTTTCAACAAAGAAGAAAAAAACTTGTATTTTCACTTGTGGCGATATAAGGTAGTGTTTTTCTCCCCTACAAGTAATCGGCTATCTCCCTTTTGCTAGATTTGATTGGGCTGTGAAATAATGATATTTCCTTCTTTTTTATTAGTTTACTCCATTGATCCATGTGGTTTATGGGTCCTTTTTTGGTGAGGTACTGAAATGAAGTGGATTCTTTTCCTAGAAATGAACTTGCACTTGTGCATATTCATATCCAAGGCTAAGAGGCTCAATGGAATCACAAGTGATTATATAAGGTTATCTTGTTTTGAAACATATCTGCTTTACTTGTCTTTGAATCCTTTTATGTGTTTAGTCTTAGAGTTGCCTGTAAAGTTTATTCCTCTAAATAGTTTCAGTTTCTTTTCATAGGCTCTATTTCTGTTTCCTGGGTTTTGGATCTAAACATTTGCTGTAATGACCATAAACTGAGATCCCAGTTTCTTCCTTTCTTTTAGCTCGTTGGAGTGAAATTGATTTTGGTTTACGCTGTCTGCTGTTTTAGCTTTTGCCTTTTCCTTCCACACACCCCCCCCCCGCGGAGGTTGGGGGTTGGAGAGGGGGGGCCCGACTCCTTTGAAATAAAGAATGTTTCTTTGCCTTCCTGGTCTCTTTTTTCTTTGCTTTTTTAACTCATTTGAGAAATTCTTCTCTGAATTTCTCTGTTTCTCTGTTGCAACTCCAGGTGAATAATCATTGTGTTTAACTTTCTAATTTGTTTCCAAAGTTTAATATTATTATTGGGTTTTCATGGTATAGAATGTCGAGGCCTCTGCATCGAGGTGCAACAGCGATACGGGTCTCTGGGAACAGCAATGATTTATGGGACTCCCAAATGAAAGATAAGACAGAAAAGGAAGATTTGGATAGGAATCGTTCTTCTGATCAAAGTTATTTAGCACTGAGGTTTCCTTTCCGGGTACTTTTTCCTGATAACAATTCTCCTTCCAAATATGGTAGTGGTGAAAATGGCTTTGCATCTGATCCATTCATTGTTGGGAGTCCAAGAAGCCGGCACAAATTGGCTCTGCTACTTTTGAAGCTGAGCTTAGCTGTGATTGTAATTCTTGCTCTGGCGGGGTCTTTTTGGTGGACTATCTCAATAACAACAATGTCAAGAGGTCAAATATTACATAATTATAGGCGACTCCAGGAGCAGCTTGTTTCAGACCTGTGGGATATCGGAGAGCTATCTCTTGGTTCCTCGAGGTTGCAAGAATTGGAATTCTGTTCTGAAGAGTCTGAAAATTATGCTCCTTGCTTCAATGTTTCCGAGAATCTTGCCTTGGGATATTCTGATGGTAGTGAGAATACTCGTCTTTGTGGGCAGAGTTCAAGGCAAAGTTGCCTGGTGCTTCCACCTGTAAATTATAGGATCCCGCTTCGTTGGCCTACAGGAAGAGACATCATCTGGGTCGCAAATGTAAAGATTACTGCACAGGAGGTTCTTTCCTCTGGTAGTTTGACAAAGAGGTAAGTGGATGAACTTTACCGTATTACACTTCCATTTCCCAGCTATCCTCCATTGATTTCTGTTTTACCTTGGTTGCCAGGATGATGATGTTGGATGAAGAGCAGATTTCTTTTCGTTCAGTCTCTCCCATGTTTGATGGTGTTGAAGATTATTCACATCAAATAGCTGAAATGATTGGACTGAGAAATGAATCTAACTTTGTGCAAGCTGGGGTAAGCCCATATAATTTATTTCCCTCTTGGGAGCCGTAATACAAGTTTGGTCCTGTCTCATGTACTCTCATAGTTTTAATAAATAGGGTAGCATTACTCTGATCTGGTATTGGATGCAGAGTGGTTCGGTAAACTAATAAGGAAAAGCTTTTTAAATAGCCTTTCAGAGTAACTAGTTTTCATATTTACACCTGACCTTCAAACTAGATTTGAGCACTATGCAGTCTAAAGTCTATTAAACATATTAGCGCTCTTTGATTAGTTATCAAAAGGAAAAGAAAAAAATAAGGGAGAAGAGGACAGCATTTTAGTGCTCAATGACTGCATGATGAGCCCATTTGGTACTGTAGCAGTGATTACTTTTTAAAGTGTTTTCCGTTTAGAAATGCATTGAAAGAATTTTTTTTTATTTTTAAAAATTTATTTTTAACATCAGTATATCAAAATCATCTGAAAATACACAAAAATAATTTAAGGCTAAGAAAAGGAAATTCATTTTTTTTCAGAAGTGCTTTTGAAACACAAGAACAAGTAGGCTCATGTCCTGTGCTGTCAAGAATGGAAGTTTTGCAGCTTACATGTATTCTGCAGCCACTTGATACTAGTTATGTTCTATGAGCAATATTTATATTAATTACCCATGTTTATTTCCTGATTTTTCAGGTAAGAACCATTTTGGATATAGGATGTGGTTATGGTAGCTTTGGAGCTCATCTCTTTTCTAAGCAGCTCATAACTATGTGCATCGCAAACTATGAGCCTTCAGGAAGTCAAGTTCAACTTACTCTTGAAAGAGGTCTTCCTGCGATGATTGGTTCTTTTAATTCGAATCAATTGCCATATCCTTCTCTTTCCTTCGATATGTTGCATTGTGCACGATGTGGCATTGATTGGGACCTGAAAGGTATTAGCTCTGATGTCCTAGCTATTGATCATTGTGGACATTATGTGTGCCTTTTATGAATATAAATGTGAACACATATCACATCATATGGGAAAATTAAAATGTCAGCTATGTGATATAAATGTGAACACATATCACATCATATGGGAAAACTAAAATGTCAGCTATGTGTTCTTTCTTGTGGTTAAAGTTCCCTTACAATGCATAATTGGCAGGAAAAACTCTGTAAATTTAGCCTTCACAGTAGAATTGTAGAACACATTATTGGACTATAAAAAGCCTGTATAGCTAAGAGTTGGGATAAAGAGACTTACTAGTAAACAATGGTAATTGTGATTTACCATGCATTTCTCCAATTTCCATTCTCTTTTTTGAAAATCTGATATCGCCGAGCCAATTTCCATTCCCTTTTTCCTTTTGAAAATCTGATATCACTGATCTATCTCGAATTTATTCCTTGAAGTGCTACCTTGCCAACTTCATAATTGTTTTTTAATTTCCATTCTGGAGGTCTAGAGGTTGAATAAGTGAGAGAAACAATTCATAGGGTACTAAGTACTCTCCTACACTGAGTTACTTGGTTTTATATCTGATTGCTGGAAAATGATTGTCTGATTACTGGGAAATGATTGTTATAAAGACTGGACGCCTTCTAAGCGTGCCTGCAACTGTTGACTTCAGAATATTGTTTTCTATTTATTTTGTGGAATTTGCTACTTATTGTGCTACCTTGCCTACTTCATATTTATTTTTTAATTTTCATTCTGGAGGTCTAGAGGTTGAATAAGTGAAACAAATCATAGGCTACTAATGACTTTTCTCTGGGATTCTTGGTTTTAAATGTGATTGCTGGAAAATGACGTCATACAGACTGGATGTCTTCTAAAAGCGTGCCTGCAACTGTTGACTTCAGAATCTTGTTTGCTATTTATTGTGTGAAATTTGGTCAATGCAAAGCACAAATCTTAGTTTTTTTCTGAGCTCATAGAAATAGCTTATTGTGGCACCACATACCACATGTGAATTCTTGAAAGAAGATGGCCATATAAAACTCTACCAAACATTCACTTTACATGCTGCAGATGGTTATTTCTTGATAGAAGCTGACAGAGTTTTGAAGCCGGGTGGATATTTTGTCTGGACTTCACCACTTACCAATGCTCGTAACAAAGAGAACCAGAAAAGGTGGAACTTTGTACGAGATTTTGCAGAAAATCTCTGCTGGGAGATGTTGTCACAACAAGATGAAACTGTTGTATGGAAAAAGACCAGTAAAAGAAGCTGCTATAGTTCCCGGTAATGCCACCAGCAAGATATCCACTTGCATACCGAGATTTGTATTGATGTTTATTGAATTTGAATACCAGTATGGTACTTAAAGAACATGCAAATATGCATCTAAGCATATATTCATAATTTTTTAATAAAATCTCTGCATAAATATGAGAATACATTACATGAGACCAAGGGGTGGTTCTGATTGATAGCTCAAACTGCTCTGTTATTCCAGGAAGCCTGGTGCAGGCCCTTCTACCTGTAGTAAAGGTCATGATGTTGAATCTCCTTATTATCGGCCACTCCAAGGGTGCATAGCTGGGACGCAGAGTCGTCGATGGATTCCTATCCAAGAGAAGACGACCTGGCCTTCTAGGTCTCACTTGAACAAGACCGAGCTTGCAATATATGGTATTTGATACTCTTTTTACATGATTTTGGAACAGCATCTTTGTGGACTTTAGCAAAGATCCCTTTGCCTTATGTTCTTGTTGTCTATATTTTATCAGGTCTGCATCCAGAAGACTTTAGTGAAGATGCACAGAATTGGAAAACAACAGTCACTAATTACTGGTCTGTTTTGTCACCAATAATATTCTCTGATCATCCAAAGAGACCTGGTGAAGAGGATCCTTCTCCACCTTATAACATGGTCCGAAATGTACTAGACATGAATGCTCATCTTGGCGGTTTCAATTCTGCACTATTGGAAGCTGGGAAGTCTGTATGGGTAATGAATGCGGTCCCAACAAGTGGACCAAACTACCTTCCCTTGATACTGGACAGAGGCTTTGTTGGTGTACTGCATGATTGGTAATTCTGCCATCTACTTCTCTCTCTCTCTTTCATTTTTCCAGTTTATCCATTGAAACATACTTGTATCTGTTTTCATTTTCTTGCCTGTCTGGAATTGGCTACTCTACTATCAGATGCAATTTCAGATATTTTGTTTGGATGATGAATCGGCAGGGTTTTAGTGCATTCTGTGCTAGATTGGAAACACTCTATTCTGATCTTTCATCCGTGCTTGGTTATCTACTCTTCCTCTTCCCATTCCTCTTTTTTTTGCCCCACCCTCTCCTTTCACATTCTCTATTTGATTGCCCGCTTATGCCTTTCTTGTTGAGTTAACCTGATTGAATAAGAGGAATAATATTCCTTTGAAACTAGTTAAGCCTTCACCTGCTGATTTCAATGATTCACTAGGTTGGCATTACAGTCTAATTGTGGAATAGCAGATAGGGAAACTGAAATTATACAATTTCAAATATATTTTTCTTCAGAGATCAGCTACACTTGTTCTCCTTGGGCTTAGTTACAATGGTTAATGATAAGTAATTGGAGGAATTTATGAACCAATTTGGTGAAGACAATGCATGCTGGATGATATGTTATCATACTGGATATTTTTTGGGTTTTAGTTGCTCATTTAAGAATCTTGAAATGTTTATGGTGGACTTTGTAACAAAGTACTTCAAGCTTAATTTTGGGTCTCGCAGCAGTCGCTGAAGAGGTTAAGTTTGGTCCTTGACTAGAGTCAGGATACAAGAAAGAGAATAGTTATTTTATGTCTTTGACTGTAGATCCCGTGTGGACTTCTACTTGTTCTAACTATTATGCTTTTATTATTGCTTGTTTCTTCCACTGATTTGATGGGTTATTTCCATGGAAGGTGTGAGCCATTCCCGACTTACCCTAGAAGTTATGATTTAGTGCATGCAAGAGGGCTCTTAACCCTACAGACCCAGCAGCGCAGGTGCACCATGCTGGATCTATTCACTGAGATAGATCGGTTAATTCGTCCAGAGGTAGCTAATTCAAACTTCCCTCTCTTTGAGTTTTGTAGCTTGTTTAGCTGTTGTGGCTAAGATGGAGAATACTTTTAATATCTTGGGTGTACATTGTTATTTGTGTCAGAGATCGGAAGCAATGATGCACACATTGTGTTCCATCATTGTAACTTCATTTTCTAATGTCTAGGCACAGTTAGATTTTTTGGTGTTTGTGTATCAGAAGAATTTAGATGGACTGATGTTGGTGATTGGTGCAGGGTTGGGTAATAGTCCGCGACACTGCTCCACTTGTTGAATCAGCAAGAATGCTAATCACACGGCTGAAGTGGGATGCACGAGTAATAGAAATCGAAAGTAACAGTGACGATAGGCTACTTATCTGCCAGAAACCGTTCTTTAAGAGACAAGGAGTCTCATCATGAGTGTTTCCGAAGGAAACTCGAGAAAGTTAGATCATAGTATTCATATTCATTTTGTCATGTTAGTTAATTATCATGAAGCTTCACATATAAAGGAGGGTAAGAATTTTGAACAGAAAGAAGAAAGCAGAGGAGAGGAGAGGAAACAAATGGATGATGGTGGTGGAACCAACCACAACTCCTACGAGGCAGCAAGGCTTACGTAGGACCATGTAATTACTCAAGTTGAGGTGCTGGGCAAATGAGAAGTATAGAATAGGATTTAATTTAAATTTAGTGTCCATTTTTCATGTGATGTCGAATCATAACACTATACAACCACATGATTAGATTGTGAAGATGATTACAGAATAAGCAAGGTCCTACTTTACTCGATGTGTAGTGTACAAAAATGCTTGTCAGTTCATTCATTCATGTCTAGCAATATTTATTTTCTTCATCTTTTGCTTGTTACTGTCGTCGATGCTCTTTTTCCGGTGCTGCAAAACTTCGGAAACTCCATTGCTAAATACGCTTCAAGCTCGATCCGCGGCTCGTTGTCGCCCCTCGTTAGTGTTTTTTTAATTATCTCGACCCGAAACAAATTGTATTTTCTAAAGAGTTCTATCCTTTTGTGTTAGGATATTAGTCATCATTCCCTGCGAGGTCCAAGGGGTTTTTTTAATTTTTATTTCAAATTTTTATTTTTATATATTTTTAGATAATTTTGATATATTGATATTAAAAATAAGTTTTAAAAAATTTAAAAATATATTTTATAAAAATAATTAAAAATCTTACCACAATATCAAATACTTTATAAAAATAAAAATAAAGAGATTATAGAATTGAACAAAGATTTTTTCTTCTTTTTAAAGTTGCAAAACCATTTTTCACCAAAAAGATATTGAGCAAGAAATTTATTCTAAAATAAAGAAAAAAAATTTGGAATCCTTTCATGGATTTTTCTTATAATGTCCATTCATGTTTCTTGAATTTAAATCATCAAATTTAAAATAAATGAGCATGATTTAAATGTTTATTAAAAATAATGATACCTTAATTATTATTTTATCTCTCTCATTTAATCTAAATTTTCCAATTCAAATTTAATGACAATTTATATCATGATCGGTTGGAGTTGCTGGCATCGAGGTAAAAAGAAGAAAGAGCTTACGTTGATTAAGAAAATACATGGAGACACCGCAAGAGTATTCGACAACCGACCTTAGCTCAGTTGGTAGAGCGGAGGACTGTAGTGGGTAAATATCCTAGTAGCCATCCTTAGGTCGCTGGTTCGAATCTGGCAGGTCGGAATTTTTAGGATCTCCATGAAAGTTTTTCACTTCCATCAAGCGGCCAAAATCACCTAATCGAAAGATCTAAATTCTTTAGGATCTCCATGAAGTTTTTCACTTCCATCAAGCGGCTAAAATCACCTAATCGAAAGATCTAAATTCTAAACTAACTATTTTGCCGATCCACCTCCAAAAATCATTTTCCATGGCTTGGCGCCTCTTCCTCTCCAAATCCACGTCCTCCAAAACCCTAACCTCTCCTCTCCTCCAAAACCCTACCCCTAACCCCCTTTTATCTCTGTTCTCCTCCCATTTCTCCACATCCTTTCTTGTCACCAAAACCCCAAAAAAACACAAGAAAAAACGCAGAAAACCAGAATCCCCACGCACCAGGCTCGTCCAGCACCCCTCCACGCGGATTCCTCAATTTGAATCTCTCCTCGAACGCGACTCTTACTTTCGTTTCCTCACTAAATCCAAACAATTCCTCTCTCAACAACCAGAACGCATTCTCCGCCTAGACGACGCTGGAAAGCTCCACCAAGAACTTGGTTTCCCTCGCGGCCGCAAAATCCACCGCTTCCTCCAACGCCACCCTCTCATCTTCCAAACTTATCGCCACACCGATAACAAATTGTGGGTCGGCTTTACAGATTTTATGGAGGAATTGCTGGAAGAAGAGAAGGAAATTATGGATTCAATGGAGAGTGATCGCGTTAATAAGGTGCGTAAGCTGTTGATGATGTCGAAGAATAAAAGGATTCCTTTGAGTAAAATTCATCATTGTCGGTTATTGCTTGGAATTCCTGATGATTTTAGAGATAGAGTCGCTAAATATCCGCATTACTTTAGAATTGTTGTTGAGAGTGATGGGAAGAGGATTTTAGAATTAGTGAATTGGGATCCGAGTTTGGCGGTGAGTAAATTGGAAAAGGAGTTTATGGTTAACGAGGAGAAGGCGAAAAGGGCGTTCAAGTTTCCGATAAAGCATGGGAAGGATTTGGATTTGGAGGTGGAGGATACGAGGAGGTTGAATTTATTGAATACATTGCCATTGGTTTCGCCGTATAGTGATGGAGAGAGATTGGAGTTATGGAGCTTAGAGGCGGAGAAGTATAGAGTAGGGATTTTGCATGAGTTTCTGAGCTTGACTTTGGAGAAGAGGGCGTCGATACATCATATTGTGGAGTTCAGGGAGGAGTTGTGCTTGACTAAACATACGTATGATATGCTTAAGAAGCAGCCCCGGACATTTTATCTTGCGGGGACAGAGATGAATTGGGTTGTGTTTTTGAAAGATGCTTATGATGAGAATGGGGGTTTGATTGACAAGGATTCACAGGTGATTTTCAATGAGAAACTGTACAAGTATGCTCAAATGAAGGAAGGGGAATTGGATTCAAGTGTATGGAAGAGTTGACTTCATTGGTGAATCCCAACTTGTTCTTGATGTCATGGAGAGGAGAGGATTTCTGTTGGCAGAATAGAAATCGTGACTCTTCTTGAGTACCGATATGGATCAAAACCGCTGTGACATTTTTTGCACATACGTGAAGAAATATGACATCTTCATGTCGATCCGTGATAAATGTGTCTTCTGTTTGTGTTATCATTCCATATAGAATGAAACTCTTTGCGTTTTTCTGGAATCCTGACTTTATTCGGTTCATTTTATTACATTATAACAGCAATATGAGGATTTTAATTTGAGAGCAGTTGCCCCATTGCTGATGAACCCAGCCCGCTTTTCCTTAAAAGATCATTGATGATTGATGTCCTAATCATATTCAGTTATGATCCTCGACTCCATAATCTCATTGAATCTTTTCGTGCAAGGCTTGAGTCGACAGTAGGAGGAAGTTATGGTGGCATGATATTATATTGCAGACTTCCGCCATGAGTTTTCACTTATTTATTGTCAATGACCCGGCAAATACCGGTGCCGTTTCTCTTTTCCTAGAATGGTTCGCGGGGAATGATTTTAAGGTCCTGGGTTCTGAAAATTACAAACATTCATTATCAGGGTCAATTTTTGTGCCTCGCAACCGCAGTATCTATTACCTATATTAATCTCCTTTTCAACATCTCATTCTCACCATAAATAAATAAATAAAATAGAGTTCAACTGCCCAAACCACTACCACAACCACAAAACAAATACAAATGAACAAAACCATTGAACGCAGAAAGTGTCCCTCTTGAAAACGGTCTTCGGGGAAAAAAAAAAAAACGCCCTTCGTTTACTATAAGTTCTTTAAGGAAGTGTGACCATGCCACACCAACCCTCAGCCAAAATACCGCGGAGAGAGAGAGAGTTCACAGAGAAATCAAGGATAAGTAATTCGACTCATTCCCATCCAGCGAAGTTAAAAGCCGTTTCGAAAACTGATGACAAATTATTAAAAAAAAAAAAAAGAACTTCTCAGAATGGGATCGCGATTAACGGGATGAAGAAGTATGTGCAGAGGACATTGTCTTTAGGTGATGAGTCCGGCTCTTTGACCTGTCCCTGCTTTTTTGCGCACCCCCAACGCTGCCCCTTTGCATACTGGAGATTGAACTGCTAGAGGTCACTCTCTTCACTGCTTTTCTCCGATAGCTCCTGCTGCTGCTGGTTCCAAGGGCGGCTCTGGCAACGCTATCTGCGATAACTTCTCGTGCTCTCTGAGGTTTAATGGGTTGCTTGTTCAAATACACTAGCTTAGGGAGGAGGCCACAAATTGCCTTGCGAAGCTGGTCATCACTGATGTTGCTCTGAATTGGATTGCCCAACAGATTCAGAGCTTGCAGTGAGTTGTAGTGCGCAACAAGCTGGCCCAGAGCTTTTGTTGTCGTTATCTTGTTAAAGCTCAAGTCCAAGACTGTAAGCTTCAGGAGCCTGTGCAGCCCCTCAACATCACTAGTCTTGTTCCCAGCAAGATAGAGTTCCTTGATTATTGTACAGTTCGACAACCCTGATATAATGCAAATCCAGAACAAAAACATAGAACCATATAACTGAGGAAATATTATTTCCCAGGAAAAACACTGCATGATTTAAAATGACTCTGCTAGCATGAGATTCATGAGAAATAAATACCTTGTCCAATTCGAGAAATGCGATTGTAACTGAGATCGAGTACCCGCAGTCGGGTAAGTTCTCTAAGTCCTTCAATGGTGTTGATCTTGTTTCTCGATAGGTTGAGTGTGTGTAGGCCCTTTGGCAATGATCCTGGGGTAATTTGGACTGCAAAAAGGGGAAGAAAAAATGAAGGTTAGCTGTCCACAATATGTTCCTTTAACAATTGACAATTTTCTTCTGCTAAAAGCATACCTATGAAGTTGTTTGACAAGTTAACAGATCGAAGACTGGAGAAACGTGATATGGTGGGAATAGCTTTTAAGCCATTGCCTGAGATGTGGGCCACAGTTGAGGAAGAATTAAGCGACTGGATCACACTATTGGCATGCAAAATCTCCACTGAGAGATTAAAATCTGGGCGTGTCATGGCTCTTCTTGGTGATCTACTGGTATCGGGAGAGGGTGGGAAGACAATGTCGTCGTCACCCGTAACATCATTGTTATTATCATAAGCATCAAGAGGAGAGGGATGGGTCTCAAGATCCTTGACCCATTCACCCACTCTCGAAAATGGGGATGATTCTACTGAGAAAGCAACCCACTGATTCTGGGGCCACAGACCAGAAATCCCAGCATGGAAGCTATTCCAGCTCTGACTATCCTCTTCATTGTTGTTATGGCCCTTGTCCATTGACTTTACTGTGAATGACCCAGGTGATTGTATTTTACTCATGGCTCTGTTGGGTTCAAGTGTATCTGATGAATAACCGCCTTGCTGACTCAAAAGTTTACTTGCAGCTGGTTGCGGTGGTTTTACAAACCAAGGTTTGTGAAGGTTTCTGTGGCTCCAGAGGAACAATTTCCACCACAGCTTTCTACTCCTAGAGGATAGAACTTGGCTAGAAGAGTGCTTCTTTAACATCACTCTGTCAGCACTGCGACGGCTTATTGCAGATGTCGGGCTGCTGGGATCACTTTCTTTCTCAGCCAGTCTCTGCAATTCTTCAGAATACTGAGATGTTAAAGGGAACTGAGAAACAATTTTCCTTGGCACTTTGCTTGTTTCCAGATTAGAACAGGACCGTTTAAGCTTAGGCGAAC